AGGGGGGGGGGGGGGGGGGTACGGTGGGCGACTTTACTTTTCCAAAGTACCATAGGGGGGGGGACAGTAACAAGGGGTATTCCAAAAAAGCACTTCTTTCGGAGTATAAAAGCATCCCTATCTGGGCGCGCGGGGGGGGGGGGGGTCGAGCTCGACAGCAGGCAGCAGTGAGTCCCAGCGACAATTTCGTGTGTCCTGTGAAGCGACCTTGTACCCCGCGTGAGAATCCACGCAATGCAAGGGATGTTCACCCCATCCATGTTGTGGGGGCGTCGTGCGACGATAGGGAGGCCCATCTCAGCTATGTATGCACAGGACAGCCAGGAGAAGGATTGGAGTACAGAGTGGTTGATCCCCGGGTGGGTGAGTCCAGAAAAGACGTGCACCGTATGTATGTAGTGTTGCACGACCGATCGATGTCAATCCGTTGTCTTGGGCACAAGAACCGAATAGAAGCAAGCACAGAAAACACGGCACGTTTATTCTACGCACATCAACGTCGGAGAAGAAGGAGAGTCCCTGGGGGGTCAACATAAACCACACGGACGGTTGCTTCTGCTCTGTGCTTGGCGGGTCGGTGGCATGATAATATGGATGGATGATGAGGGAGCCAACGGCACTTTATTTCGAAGAAACAGATGAAAACAAACGTCGTTCAAAGGACGCCATCTGCACTCGTACGGAGGCAACAACGAGGCAACTAGCTGCCTCGTCATTTGTACAACAACAGTTAGGGTTTGTTGCCATTGATTGTTCACACGTTCACACGTTTCACACATGCGGTGTGAAGTAGACCCAATCGCGTATAGCCCCGACGACGTGCGTGCGCACGCGCGCCCCCACTACTACATTATTACATGATGACCCAAGACCTCTTTTTTTCCCGCCGCGTTCCTTCACGCGCATTCCTCTTCTTGTTACGTCCACCGTTCGTTGTGCTTCTTTTTGTAGGAAAATTGCGATGGAGGAGAAACTTCGTAAGCGAAAGATTGACTGACGAAGTAAGGGAAATAATGACAAATTTCGGAAGCATCGAGAAAAGGGTCTGCCTTGGCTATGTGAGTAGCCATGTCTCGGGGGCTCCGCGGCTGAGATATTGGGCGGGGGGGTCAATATCATCAAGCTTATCATGCGCACTTCACTTACTTGTGCATTGGGCGTGGTGGTTTGCCACGCACAGCAACACCCCAACACGATGCTTGGCCTTGCACTGGCTGGGGTGCTGGCAATCATCTGCGGTAAGGCGGATGGTTTCGCTTCTCCGATCAAGATGAGCCACAGATGGTCTGGTTCAACCTCGCCGTTAGAAGCAGTTGAATCCTCATCGACTGCTGGCGGACAGACCGAAGACCTGCCGCAGGCGTTGATCTTTGACTGCGACGGTGTACTAGCAGATACGGAGCGCGATGGTCACCGTCCAGCTTTCAACTCCGCGTTCAAGATCAAGAACCTAGGTGTGTGTGAGCGCTTGAGGATCTTACATGATGTATATGTAGCGTATTGACTACGTATACGCCATCTGTAGGATTCTGCGCCCACTTCAAACAACATGAATGCTCGTCAAATCACTGCTGTGCTCGTTCCCCGCACGCTGAACCTGCAGCTGTGCGCTTGCAGGACGAGAAGTAGGATATTCCTTGTCCTACGATGGTTCTCTGACCGATGTTTCCTCTTCACTCTCTGGCAGGTGCGCAAGCACCGAAAGCCGGACTTTGTACATGTTGTACAGGCAGAGCCAGCGTTATTGGGAAGTCTAATGCAGGCGGTCCATGTACCCAAAGGCAGCCCTCTTCGCCGTGTACTTGCTCTCCTGCCGTGCACTTGCTTTGAGGTCGACCCGACCCTTCATTGGTCCTACTGGACCTTCGGGCGCCGCCCTTTGGATGCAGCTCAAAATCATTCATGGTCGTGGTTGGTCTCCGTTTGAACCCCTCCTCCTCCGCTACACCTTGTTTTTGCATCATAACCAACCCCAGACTGCGAGTGGAGCGTTGAGCTGTACGGAAAGCTGCTGTCTGTTGGCGGTGGGAAGGAGCGAATGACGGCGCACTGGGATGGTAAGTCGATAGTCGACGACACATGGACATGCTGCGACCCTAGGCACCCTGCTCTGGTCGCTGTCCTGTTGACCATGGCGTCGGTGACCTGCTGATTACTCCCAAGCTGGGTGACCCATATCCCGTGTATTCCCGAACAATATCATCCCGGGTAGGTGTGCCCCCCGGTGTACTGCATTTTGTGAAATTGCGTCCTCGGTTATGGTGGTGATGGTGTCGCTCGCTGTGGCGGCTGCTCATTTTGTGCAGACGCAGCACGCTGTCCATTTGCAACCTAGTTTGTGAACGGCAGTGGGCATAGCTGACCAACTATGATTCTCGAGACCAATCGTTCAAACAATCAAGAGAATGAGAGAGAGACAGAGAGAGAGTCGGCTGCAAAGTTACGTGATTCGCACGCTGTCCCAGATCGACTAGATTCTGAACATACATAGCACCACTTTTTTAGGCCTCATCCTGATTCGATTTTCTTCCACGGACGAACCCTCCCTATAGCACCACAATCAGGCCCCCACCCGATTTGATTCTCTTCCGCTGACGAACCTTCCGCCAGAGGTGGGCTGGCCTGACTGCGCCAAGACAGCCGACGAGCGATCTGTGCTCGTCAAGGAGTTGCACCTCCTCAAGACGGCGTTGTTCAACCAGGCCGTGGTGGATGGGGAGATACCTCTGAGGACGGGGGTCATCCGATTGGTCGACGAGGCCATCTACCGGAAGGTCCCCCTGGTAGGTCCCAGCGCACGCGTGTTCTTTTTCTTAACCCACTTTTTTCTAGGGGTGGTATCTACAGTATACAGCAGTACTACAGCAAGAGGCGGGGAGATGACACCCTCCCAGACCGATTTTCAAAGCTCGATTGCTCCGCTACCAAGATTGTATCAACACCAGAAATTGTGGTTTTGGAACCATCTCGTCGAGGGCTTGCCGTCGACGTATCGGGCTCTTTCCGCACCCACTTGGTTGTGGAGCAATCGAGCTTTGGAAGTCGGTCTAGCGGGGGTGCTATCTCTCCGCCTCTTGCGGTGTTTCATCACGTCCCCGTGGGGTCGGACACTCTTAGAGGCGACGGGAGCGTTGGTAGGAGAGCGAGGAAAAGGAGGTGGTACAGGCCACACACCAGCAGTGGCTGAGATGGTTCAGGTGGTAACTACGGCGTGGCTCTTAGGCTGTGGGGTTCGAATCTCTTCGGAATGAAAAACTTGCAAATTACCTACAGCTCTATACTTTCTGCCTCTCTTGGGGCGACGACAAGCGAGTTAGTCGCCATCCAATTTTCTCCAACCTTTGCCATTTCCGCCATGGTTTGCCAAAGTGCCATTCCACGATAGTCATCAGAAACATCATCGTCTGCGGTCTGTCTTGAACACAGATAGCGCCCGTACTTAAAAAGAACCTGTACTTTTGGGCGAGGTTTTTGGTTCTTGGTTCCTCTTGCGGCGTACAAACGTCCTCCATTTTCGTTCTATTGTAGGGGTTCTTGATCGACCTCAGGAACGGTGCTCAAGTTCTTGGTGTTTGATAAATTGTTGAGCATGAAGCTCTTTACTGCAAAGCTCGTGAGTGCGGGCGCTACATCTGTACATGATGACCTCAGGCAGTGTGCTCGACTTCGAACGACAAAGCTGTGACAAATCTGGTCAAGACCCTGATGGGGAAGGAGCGGCTGGAGCGGATGCAAATATTCGCCGGCGACATCGTGGAAAAGAAGAAACCCAACCCGGATATTTACGACCTCGCCAAGGTGTGTGCGGAGATCAGCCGGGGGAACACTCTGTTTCCCTTCTCGATACTGTTGTCAGTGTAGAATAGTTTACTTGCTTCATGTCGTAACGTGACGCTAAATTGATTTGCCACCGACGATATTCGTGGCGTGTTTACTCCTTTCCGATACTGTTGTCAGTAGATGATAGATTTAATCCATGTCGTAAAGTGAAACTCTGATTTCGCCACGGGCGATATTCGTGGGCGGCGCGCAAGACCTCCGTAGCTGACAGCAACTGCAGTAGGGATTGTCACATAACGTACGCCAAAGAGGACCCTCCTTCGCGAAAAATTAAGTGAATGAGGCAATAGAACAGGTAGGGGGTACGCAGACCCCATCCCTAACCCTAACCCTATCCCACTTTCCCCGATTGCATGCTTTATCCAACATGTTTGCTTAGTAGAAAAAACCTGCAGTGACTAAGAAAAGGCAGTCGTCGTCGCCGCCGCCATCCGTGATTCACTGGTTTGTTTGATGCGGGCAGGATACAATGGGGCTGGACCCTGCTCGCGTGGTGGTCATCGAGGACTCGCACATCGGCCTGACTGCGGCGAAGGCTGCCGGGATGAACTGCCTGGTGAGAAATACGGAAATATGGAACGACCACGCTCCGGCTCTCGGTATTGCCCGTCCCGTGGAACTTGAGAAATGCGGAGCGAACACCCTCTGGCTCTCGGTATTGTCCATCCCGTGGAACTTTCTGCCCCACATTTTGTACCGTGGAACTTGAGAAATACGGATCGAACACCCTCCGGCTCTCGGTAGTGACCATGCCGTGGAACTTGCTGCCCCACACTTTGTACAGTGGAACTTGCTGTCCCACAATTTGTACCGTGTAGCACTGAGCGGCGGTTGGGAGGGCTTGGCGGTGAAGTCAAGGCGTTCCTTGTTTTGCCAATGATCGCTTTTCCTTTAGAAGACAATCTTGTGGTTTTACGGCTTGTTATAACGTTGCAGAGAGGTAAAACAGAGTGTCTGTGCCCACCGTCGGTGAAAGCTGTCGGGTTTTCTCCACGTGAGAAGACGACATTGTAGGGGAATTCGGGCACGTTTGTGTTGATACGGAAAGAGCGCACCAAGAAATTTCGAGCAAAATCCGCGAGAGATTTTACCTTTGATTACTATTTCCATTCCGCGTCTGGGCTACAGATTCCTTTTGGAACAAGCGTCGGATGCCTCGCGAGTTGTCTGTGTCCTTTGAACCCAGAACGGAAACCCGACCTTCGGGAAAGACGCATGTATGACCTCGGTTGCCGCAATAGTTTTTTTATTACCACATGCTTGGTCAACACCCCCCGCACCTCCCGTCCTCTGCCTGATCGACTGAACGCTGACGCGTGCTTCCCCATACGTATCAAAGAATGCAACCAAGCATGAGTATGAGCCCTCCATAGTTTGATAGAACCCAGCTTAGCATGAGAACTCAAGCCACCCCCAGGACGCGTGGTCGATGGTCTAACAGCTACGGCTTTGTAGGGATGCACGGTCAATGGTCTAACGACTACGGCATGCACGACTATTAGCACATACACACACCCCGTGTCGAGGGCGCGTGGTCAATGGTCTAACAGCTAAGGCATGTTTAAAACAGGCGTACCCCCCCCCCCCCCCCCCCCCCCC